ATATCTTGTTTCTGTTCCTCCATAGTTAGGATAATTCAAAGAATTTAGTGTACCAGGCCCATGCTTCCCACATTGCAGTGGTATGTTAGGCCTGAAACATACCACACCAGCCTCTCTATTCTGACATTTCTAGTAGCTTTAACTGACTGCTGTATCTCTCACTGTTCCTTACTATAGAAGGAGAAAGGGAAACGAGAAGGGTGAACAAACAACACTTATTATGGCTCTCTAACTTCGACAGCTACTACTCTGAGATTGGTTGAGTCAATGTTTGTCCAGGATAGCGGTCCTTTATATGCCTAGTTCCTTCCCAGGAATTTTGAAGCCCACTTTGACCTGAACAGGGTTGCATGGCACCATTACTTGCTCATTAAAAGGAAATGAAGGAACAAGTTTTAAATGAGGGTCCTGGAAAATAAAGACTTGGGAGAAAAAAGAAGAAACAAATGAAAACCTAGTTAACAACAAACTCTCCGAGGATGGTTCCTATATTTATACTCTTCCTGGGTTCTACTACTTTTGATCTCACTTTTATTGAGTTTCCTAGCATCATACATTTCATAAAGAATTTTTTTCTTTGAGAATATTTTTTTTTCTCTCTTTACACTATCTAGCATAATGAACCCTGCCACCATGCTAACTATGGAATAGAATAGATATTTCTGAGATGAGGAAATTCAGGTGGATATGGAGGGGTGATCTTTCTGAGGCCCCAAGGGTTTCTTCCCCAATTCTGATAGTGTTGAATTTCTCAGAAAACTTGAACAGTCCTTTGTTGGGTCATATTCCCAATGTTCACATGCCTTCCTAGCCCTGTTCAGCCTATGACTCTTCCATTCTTTTTAAGAGGAAGAAAACCTATATCTTTGTCTTCCTCTCACTGTAAGGAAACCTGACTGGGTCACACAGGCAGCACTTGAGTATGGGAAAGACTTCCTATTTGAGGTTGTGATAGGAGGGATAGAGGGTCAAGTATGAGCTAGGATCTGGGGGGGAGAGGTGGTAGGGTGAGGACTGGTATAAATTAAGATGACAAACATCAGAAACTAGTAGCAATGGTCTGAATATTCTCTACTGGAGTAGAGGAAAGGAGGGAGCCCAGCAAGGACAGAAAGTCATCTTGGCACCTTAGTCTCATGAGAAATGGGAGAATATAGAGAAAATATGGACTAGGGTAGATGAGCCGTCTTTATAAGTACAGCCACAATTGGCACCATGCAGTATTGGCTCACATAGCTTTGGGACTGGTAGTTGGAAATTCTGAATGGGAGATTGGGAAGGAACTGTCTTCCCCAATGGAGTCTAATGGGGAGGGAAAGCCCATCCAGGAAGAAGCAGAAAGCCATAAGCTGGACTCTATAACCTCCACCTTATTCACAGTGCCTGGTGGATATCTTCTGACTGTAGCACTTTATAGACAACCCAGTAGAAAATATTGAAAATGAGGAAAGTAAAAGGGAAGACAGCCCGGGAGATGGTGTCAATTCTCTTGGCCCGGTCCACATAGAGTTTCCGCATGGTTTCTCCTTCTTTTAGAAGAGAGGCTGGAGTTTGGGGGCTATAAATACTAGAATCTTCCATTGGGCCTCCATCCCTTCCCTGCAGGCAGTGGCCCAGGCCATAGCCACGGAAATAGAAGCGGCTTTCTCTTATGATGTCTTCCTCCTGGATTACAAGGAAGAAAAGGCAAAAGTTGAGGTCAAACCTGTAAAGTAGAGGGATAAAGACCAGGCCTCACATAACTATCTCACATATAGCTTAATGCAGAGAAGGTGGCTGTATACACAAGCCAAGCTTTTTTTTTAATTGATTCTTTTTAATCATGCAGATGGTAGAATCCATTTTGATAAAAATTATACAAGCATAGGTTATATCTTATTCTAATTAGGACCCCATTCTTGTGGATCCACATGATGGTGGGATTTACTTAGGTATTTTCACATATATATACATAGGAAAATTATATCAGATTAATTCCACTGTCTTTCCTTTTCCTATCATCCCCCTCTTCTTTTTTCCCCCTTTGTCTAATCTACTGAATTTCTTTTGTTCCCTATTACCCCTCTTTATTGTGGTTTATCTCCCACAAATCAGTGAAAACATTTGACCTTTTGGTATTTGGGGATTGGCTTATTTCACTTAGCATGATAGTCTCCAGATTCACCAGGCACATGCTTTTTGATTGCCACAAAACTCTTCATGAGGTAGATGAAGGCTAAGCAGCTATATGTGCTACATATGATATAATTTCTGTATTAACAGTTAGGCCCTGAGCTGCCTTTTAAAAATGTATAACATAATTTAAAGTCATTTAAATTCCAGTGAAATGCCAACTGTAAGGGACATCTCAACATTAAGTCATCTTTGGTAGTAAACAAAAGAACAAAACCAGCTGGGCATGGTGGCACATGCCTGTAATCCCAGTGGCTTGGGAGGCTGAGGTAGGACATTTATTACCCAATGCACATTTCCATTCAAAGCCTCCTCAGCAACTTACTGAGGCCCTAAGCAACTTAGTAAGACCCTGTCTTAAAATTTAAAAATTTAAAAAAGCTATATTAAGATGACAAACATCAGAAACTAGTAGCAATGGTCTGAATATTCTCCACTGGAGTAGTGGAAAAGAGGGGGCCCCAGCAAGGGCAGAAAGTCATCCTGGCTCCAGAAACAAGGCCAGACCTCAGTCTCATGAGAAATGGGAGAATATAGAGAAAATATGGCCTAGAGTAGTTGAGCCATCTTTATAAGTACAGCCATGATTAGCACCATAAATTATTGGCTCATATAACCAATATAACTATATAACTATATAACTATATATATATATATATATATATATATATATATATATATATATATATATATAAAATTTGCCAATTTGATATAGCTCAATTGGTAGAGTGCTTACCTCACATGCACACGGCTCTGGGTTCAATCCCTGGCACCACAAAAAAATAAAAAGATTTTTAAAAAGGCGTGGGGATGTGACTCAGTGATTGAGTGCCCCTGGGTTTAATTCCTGGTTCCAAAAAATAAATGAAACATCAAATAGTGGAGCTGAGATATTTAGACTCGGTGAAATTGACTTTAATGAATTTCAAAAGCTTCAGAAATAGTATTTCTTGAATGTAGTATCTTTTGAAAGTTCAATTATCTTGATTCAAAGCTGAGAATTCCAAAAGTTTTAAATAACTTAATGGGTTATCCAAAGCAGAGTAAAGCTAATGACTCTGTTACAGATATGTGTACTTCTAAGCAGAGCAACAGATTTGACACAAGGGTCAATATATCCAGAGTGACAGTTATTACCCAATGCACTTTCCATTCATATATAATATGTGCATAATGATAAACTCATTAAGCACTAAGTAATATGGCAAACTACAAAACGTCCATTGATCCAGTAGTCAGATGGGAGCCAGGAAGTAAGCACAGAAAGATAGATATAGGAAAGAGCAAAGACAAAAGCCCCTGAGTGATCAATGGAGTGTTAGTAATATAAGAGGCTGTCAGGCACCCATTTAGAACCTATTTACTTTTATTTTATATAAGACCCAAATAAGCCTGATTTTATCTTCCTCTAAAGGGAAGTGTTAAGAAATATATCCTTGAAAGATGTTTATAATTTTAGAAAATATTGAAGGTTCGGGGGCAAAATCTTAAGCTATCTAAAAGAAATCACCTGAAATGCCAATTGCTATCTCAATTTGCCCCAAACTGAGAGGATTCCTGAGACTTGAGTCTTTAGTGCTAAAACTAGGGAAGACCAAGGAAAACCAGAAAGAGTTAATCACCATACAGCTACCTAAGGTAGTTAGTATAATTATAAGAACAAGATACAGGTGTATTATATGGGTATGACATAGATATTTTTAAAATGTGAATCAAATATATTTTAAACATTTTGTGCGGTTAGAGGGACATCATAGGATCTTCATAATGGGACCTCTGCAGCTATGGTAGCACATTGAAATGCCAATTGGTGTGGTAAGTCCTAGTAACCCTTGATTATTATATCACCAGAAGCTGACCTGTCACGAGGGCAAGCCTGTCAAGTAGGCATTGTGTTGGTCTTGTTCACTGCTGTATTTCCAGTGTCTACTTCTGTGCCTGAAACATAACAGGAACTCAGTAGACTTTGGTGGAGTGAACGAATGGACTGGTGAGCCACATGCTTCAGAATATAGGAAGAGAAGAGCTTTTTGTTCTTATGCAGCCAGCATCCTTTCAAGATCTTAAACCCAAAGTTTACTCAGAAGTGAAACTCCCTGGGTTATAAAATACTTTGCAGGAAAAATAGTTACTCCTTGCCCACCCTGCACAATGGCCTGATGCTCTTTGACTTCCAGAAAGGGATTAGCATTTTGGCATAGGAAAGAATCTGTCTGCCAACTCTAGAGCTTTGCTGCCCTATCCTTGATTTGTCAGGGTCTTTGTGGAAAGAGTTGTATGTGGGTAGGCCAGAGACAATTTGCTGTTGTGGTGTACCTTAACCCCAAGAGGTTGTAATAGGGAAGTCTTAGCTCTGTGTTCAAGATAATTCCCATTGTCTCTTTCACCACAGGACTTGGCTCATCTCACATGAATTCTCTAATTCATTTTCACAGGGGAGGTTAGATTACAACTGCTGTTTCTGTTTCTATATCCAATTATTTTTTCTTTCTCCAATCACAGTAAATCTAAAAGGAATTATTTGGAAATATTTCCCAGGCCATAAAAAGACATTTCATACAGTAGAAAAAATATGGCTAATAAATGAGTCTAGGCTCTTTTTGATTTTAACAGGTATTTCTTGTAGCTGGAGGAATAAAGATGAGTGACCTGAAATAGGGAGTTCTGGATTTGTGTCTTATCCATTTAGGCCAAATTCTGAGGTGTGTGAATGTGTGTGTGTGTGTGTGTGTGTGTGTGTTTGTGTGTGGGGGGGGAGGGAAAATGGAGCCATAAATACCACTTTGTGACTTCTATTGCTGTTGACATAGAACTCCATTTTTTCCCAGATATCTGTAAGGGAGGAGGACTGAGAAGCTAGAGAGAGAAGATATTCCAAATCAAGCTGGGGAGTGAAGACACAGTGTGGGAGGTGAAGTAATCAGTATTGACGTGAGAGAGGCAGGAAAAAGAGACTGGAGGAGGGGGAGGGTGCTGGATGGAGGATGGCAGAGATAAGCAGGGTTCTGGGACTAAGTTCCTGAGAGAACTTGGCAGTACTTTGAAAATTCTTTCCATTTTCAAGTTATTCTGTTGATAATGGCAAGGTTTTCTCTCTGTCCAATTTGACAGAGTACCCTTACCAAACAGCCTGCAAAAGTTGGTGGGCTGGGTTATATGGTTGCTATTTTTAAAGCCTGGTGCTAGGGCCTGCAGAGATGACAAAAAAGAGAGCTTCATCCTTCCCTATAAATCTTGTAGAGTAACTGGGAAGATAAAGCAGAAACACATGGGGAAAAAACCTCAAATATTTTAGTAAGTGACATGGAAGGAGATCACCACGTAGTGGAAATGGGTGGTTGAGGAGAGATTAGAGAAGAAAAGGATTAAGCCTGAAGACCCTGGGATGACTGGCTCCTATTTTCTTCTCCCTCTCTCCCTCCCTCCCTTCCTTCCTTCCTTTCTTTTTTGGTGGTGCAGGGGATTGAACCCAGGGCCTCAACTAAGCTATACCACAGCCCCTCCTATCTTTTTTTTTTTTTTTTTTTTTTTTTTTTTTTGGCTAAGGATTTCCTTCTGCTGAAATGGTAGGACCCAGAGAGGTTCTAGTAATGGGTGAACTCTCCATCAACTTGTTTAGCCTGCCTGTTGCCTCCAGTATTCCTGTTACAGTTCTACTGGAATGACAGTAGCTTTAGGAGACTTGAAAAGGAACATGATTTATGGCACAGATTTATTCACCTTAATAGTAAACTCCAGACCACTTGCAGGAAGGCTTCAGGGTCCTAAGCAGGTCCCAAGATGCTGTTATAACTTTGTAATAATTGAGCACTGGTTATGACAGACTCCATTATGAACTCAGGGTCAACCTATATATGAGCAGGAGGGGACAGCTTGTGGCCAGTTGGGGGTTGGGTGAATGCAGGGAAAGAGGTGGGACTAGTGTCAACATGGAGTAGGTCTATGGTAACTTTAGCAATATTTTGGTGCTGAGACATCACCACACTCAGTGTAACTGGGAAAAGGACTCTGGACTGGTTGGTGACCTACTTTTTTTTTTCCAAGGAAAACATTCAGAAGTTGTCAAGGTCAGACCCCCTGTAAGAATAAGATTTTGGTACCTGCAAGTAGGTTTGACCCAACAAAAGAAGGGGTGGAGACAGTTAGCTTAGAAGAAGGAGAATCCTCTTTCCTTTCCCTGTCAATTCTATATTTCTGCCCTAACCCTCAGTATGGGACAGGAAAGTCTTTCTTCAAAAAAGTCCTAGCCAAGGACATGCAGTTATAGATCAATCCACTAGAGGGCATGCTGCCCAGAACCCAGTTAAAGGGATTAAGTGAGGCAAGAGTACATAAATTTGGACAAACCCCTATATGATCCAGGAACCCCACCCTCTGCAGAGAAGGACCTTAGCAAGGGGCATTAAACCACAGATACAGTTTGTGGTTCAGACTGGCTAGAGCCAGGATTCTGTATGTGTATGTGTGATGCTGGGAGTCGAATCCAGGGTGCTATACACCCTAGGAAACTGTAATTGTTTCCTATCCCCTAGAGGTCATTCTGCACTTGCCCCTTTAGTTTTAAAGTATTGAAATTAGGCAGAAAACATAGGGTCACAGTTGAAGACAGACCAGAACTCTGTGTCCCTGGAGATTAAGCAACTAGCATGTAGCTTAGCAAAGACTTTTAGCTTTGCTCATAATTGGAAGCTTGCTTCTGTGAGGATAGCCCAGGTACCTCTGTTGTCATGACAACTCACTTAGCACCTATTGTCTGGGCAATTGAGGGTAAACTGCCTGTGTTGTCATGACAACAAGCTTCCTCTTATATTTCCCTAGGTGATCATTCTACTGTAGAAGAAATGGGGTTAATAAACAAGAATGAGGGAGAACAACAGTCCAAGCTCAACAACTCTGATATGTCCAGTGAAGATCAAGAAGAAATCCAACAATCAGAAGAGGCAAGTAGTGTTCTTTCAATTCTAACTTAATTATAAGAATCCTCTTATAATGCTCCCTAGAAAGGCACCAATGTCTGACTCTTGAATTCTTTACCACTGATTAGTGTGGAAAACCTGGGGTCCTTCTTGGTGCAGAGAGAGCCAGGAGCAACCATTGTTATTTCTCAAAGCAATGTCATATGAATGAACTTGGTAAGGTTCTAATACTAACTGACACATTTTCAGTGCATACTGTATGCTAGGCACTATGCCCATGGTCTTAAATCATTCTACTATACTGCCTTATAGGGGTTAATGTCCCATTGAATACATAGGAGACAAAATCAAAGAGGTATTGTACTTAGCTTAACTGTGCCCAGCCTGGGACTAAAATCCAGGGTTCCTAACTGCTTGTTCAGTTCTTGCAGCTTAGGTTGGGTCTTGGTTTGTGGGAGTAGTAGTAGGGAAGAAGGAGTCCAAAGGAAAAAGAAAGCGGGCACCTCCTTAGTTGTACTCACCATGCGTTGGCGCCTCTGCCTTCTTCGAAGTCGCATGAATTCCTTATGCTGACGGGAGACAAAATTGACAGCAGCATACTCCAGCAGGGCAGCAAACACAAAGAGCAGACACACGGCCATCCAGATGTCAATTGCCTTCACATAGGATACCTATAACATCCACCAACAGGGCAGTCAGCCATCTTGACATCCTTCCATGGTCTATCCAGTGGATTTCTAGCCTGTATCAACTGCCTGATGTTCTTCCGTTTTATCCTGAATTTCTTTTGTTTTTTGAAGAAGCTTTCCATGATATGTCCCATTGTCTGAAAGCTCATGTCAAAGAGATTGAGTTACTTATCATCTTTTTTTAAAGATAAAAAGTAGATGTTGATGAACCTTTATTTTATTCATTTATTTATATGTGGTGCTGAGAATCAAACCCAGTGCCTCACATATGCTAGGCAAGCACTTTGCCACTGAGCCACAACCCAGCCCCTACTTATCATCTTTCACTTCTCTGCACTCTCCACCTTCTATTTCCATCTGCATTTCCTCCCTGTACTTATTTTCCTTTCTTCCTTTATATTCTTCTTGCATTTCTACTTCTGCTTCTGCTTTTTTTTTTTTTTTTGATACCAGGGATTGAACTCAGGGGTACTCAACTACTGAGCCACATCCCCAGTGCTGTTTTGTATTTTATTTAGAGACAGGGTCTCATTGAGTTGCTTAGTGCCTTGGTTTTGCTGAGGCTGGCTTTGAACTCTCAATCCTCCTACATCAGCCTCCTGAGCCAGTGGGATTGTAGGCATGCACCACCTTGCCCGACTTCCTTCTGCTTTTTATTATTCTTTTCATTCGTCTTCTGATTCTTTTATTTCAATAAACAACAGTAATCACGAGTACTGCATTTGTTTGCCTGTGTTATCTCCTCAAGTTCTTATAACCCTGGTGGTAACTGGGCAGGGTTCACCATGCCCATGTGAGAGACATGAGGACACTTAAAGCTCAGAGAGAAGGGTTTAGCAAAGATTACCCAATGTGAAGGTGTGTATTGGGAGTTCTGTTTTTTCCTGCTCTTTTTTAAGAGTGCCTACTTAGGAATGGGGCTCACCCTGGAGAGGAAAATAGGCCAGTATCATGAGGATGCATTGTTGGCATACAATTATTCACTCTAGTACTCTCCTCTCACTACCTTCCTTGGCAGTCTTTAAGTACTTTTCTCTCCTACTACCCTTGTGGAGGTTGAACATGGACCTCTCCTGGAACAAGGCTAGAGCTGGGTGGGGCCAGGAGGAGAGTAGAGCTCAGATTTCTGAAATCCTTTCATCTCCGTAACCAGATATAATTCTACCTAGTTTTGAGCTCATGGCATAAGGCTCCTCAGCAGGGGTAGAATTCAGGACACATGACTTCTTTTATCAGCTTCTGTTTTGTTGGGCAGCAAGGGTGCTATGGATCCTAGGTTAGGAGAAGGTCTCATGGAATAATTCTTTACCTTAGTTTTTGTTTTGTTTTAGTGCTGGGGATCAAACCCAGGGCATGCTAGGCAAGCATTCTACCACTGAGTTATACCTCCAACCCCTGACCTTAGCATTTCTTAACTGAAAAAAAAAACAAACAAACAAACAAAAAACTTTGTTCAGTTTCTGAGGATCATTTGGCAATGTTTGGTGACATTTTTGGTTGTAAAATTTTAGGGTGGCAGTAAATATCCTACAATGCACAGCCTTCCCTCGGTATACACACACACACACACACACACACACACACACACCAGAGAATTATCTCCCTCAAATGGCAGTAATGCTATGAGGCTGAGAAATCCTATTCTACTTGTTTTAGGGTGATACCACAAAGGGTGGTAATGGGTTGCTAGGCAACTACGATTAGACATCCCTTGGTGTCTCCACTTTGCCACTTATTTCATTCTCCATCTCCCAGTCCCACTGTGCCCCCAGGGATGGCAAATGTGTGTTGTGAAATCAATGATGAGTCAATGACAAAGGAGCATAATGAAGGGCTTTGAACCATCAAAGGAAAGGACACATTAAGCACCAGGAATAATGTCTTGTTAATGATGAATGTATCAGTATATTTTTTTTAAATCTCAGGAGTTCATCCCCTACTATTATAGCTCGTCTGAAGGACTACAACAGTTTCTAAATGGTCTCCCAGCTTTGACATTTGCTATCTCCAATATGTTTTCGAAATGATAGTGAGTTTTGTTTATGAAATGTAAATCTGATCATATTACCCCCCACACTTATACCCCTTTGTGGTTCTTTATTACCCTTATGCTACAGTCCACACTCCACTTAATCATGACATGGAGCCTCTGCTTACCTCTCCAGCCTCATCATGCCCCTTGCAATCTATGATCCACTATGGTGAACTATTTTAGTAGTTTTCTAAGAAGCAAATCTCTGCTTTTCTGTCTGTCTTTTACTTAGATAACTTTTATATATCCTCCAGCTTCCACTTTAGATACCACATCTTCTAGGAAGCCTTCCCTGATCTTTCCAGTCTGTGTTGGTTGTCCTGGTATATGTGCCCAGGTTACCTATACCTTCTTAGCATCCATCACATAGCTGACTATTCCCTCCGCTAGACTGTGAGCTCTTCCATGACAGGGATTATTTATATGCTCGTCACTGTTCTAGTCCCAGTGCCCAGGTGAGTTCTTGGCACATAGTTAATTTTTTAAAATGAATGAATGGATAGATGGTTTGGCAATGAGTTTTTCTCTACTGGCTTCTACTTGCTCTCTATGCTCTCCTTTCCACTGCTTGCCCTGAAAGCTAAAGGCTAGTTAGATAACAAGATCTAGAGAGAATTGGGTCCTTCCTTTATTCTACAACTTTAGGTCTAACCTGGAAAAATCTTTCATTTAGCCTCTTTTCTGAGGCATCTGCATTTGTGGAAATCAAGGGCCTTGGAAAGAGATAGTGGTGAGTGTCTTTGGAGGTCCCCCATAAGAGCAAAGGAGTGGTTTCATGGGATCATGGAGAATGGACACCCCAGCTGAGTCAAGCCAAGTCAAGCCTTTCCCCTACAAAGCAAGTCTCTGCGAATTTCATCCTAGACACTTAAGTTATGTTGTGGAGTGGAATTCAGAGTCCCCTGGCTTGGCCCCATCCCTTTTCTCAGGGCTTCCACTGAACTTAATGCTGCACAAACTCAAAAGAGTGAGCAGATGCTTCCTAGGTTACTGAGTTTCTTGCTCTGTGGGGCTGACTAATGAGGCTGTTTCATTTGGGGTGCATGCCTGGGTATTTTGCTTACTGTCCAGTGAGGTAAAAGAAGGCACAAAATGTTGTAAACAAACAACCTCCCAATAAAGTCTACTTTTTCCAAATGAGGAAACTAAGTGATTCCTGGGGGCAGATGGATTGTGCTCACTCACAGGAGGGGACCAGAAAAGGAAGTTCTCTTGGCAAAAGGAAGGCATAAATTATAATAGCTCCTAGAATTAGAGAAGAATCTCCTTGATATGGCAGAAGCAATAAACTAGGGCAGAGTTCTTAGGGCTGAATTACTTTACTGCCTCTGGTCTCCATATAGGCCACTATCAAAACATAGCTACCACAGCCCAGCCTGGGCCCTATGGTCCTTGCCTAAATCCATCCTGCCTCTCAGAGCCTCATAAATATCCCTGTCCATCTAGGAAACATATTTGCAGGAAGTGACCCCAATAACTTTTCCTTGGATACTTGATCCTGATCTTAATTATTTCTCTCTCTAGAACTTTGGACTACCTCAATGGTTTCTCAGCAGATCAAAAATAATTGGGGTCAATATTAGCTGCTGCTTTATCATATCCATCACGTTTCTTTTCAAATCTGACACATGGTACATATAATAATAATTAACATTTATTGAGTGGTTATTATTGTCAAACACTGCCTTATATATTGATATATATATTTGTATTCTTTTTATTTTTTAGTATTAGGGATTGAAGCCAAGGGTGCTTAACCACTGAGCCACATTCCTAGCCTGTTTTATATTTTATTTAGAGACAGGTTCTTGGTAAGTTGCTTAGAGCCTTGCTAAAGTGCTGAGGCTGGCTTTGAACTCACAGTCCGCTAGCCTCAACCTCCCAAGCTGCTGAAATTACAGGTGTAAGCCACCACATCCAGCTGCAATAGCATTCTTATTCCCATGTTTCGAGTAAGACAGAGAGGTTAAGGAATTTACTTAAGGTCACACTATTAGTAAATGATGAGTCTGGGATTTAAACCCAAATTGGCTTGACTCTAATTTCATACACTTAACCACTATTCCCCCCATATAGCAAATTCATAAATTTGCCATGAATGTCCCAGATTACCCCCTGCCCTAAGTAAAAAGTCTTATTATGAACAAGCACTGAGAGAAGGGAGATCAAAGGTTCTGGTTCCTAATGAATCAGAGCAAGAGGGAATATGTTCACTGAAAGATCCAGGAGAAACTGTGTTGTTTTTCCTTTCCATTGTTTTTCCATGATCAAGTACAGTGCCTGGTATATAGTAAATGTTCAATAAATATTTATTGAATAAATGAGTTTCTAACTCCCCGATGTGCTCAGAGCCTTGCTGACTGTAAGGACTTTGAGGTGACCTCTAAATTGCCTACAGGAAGACATGAGACAGGGAGAGCTGTTCCTAGTCCCATCAGCACAAATCTTTCTGCGTAATCAAAACATAACTAGGCTCCAGATGATCAGAGTCTACGGCCTTTAATTTCTATTTGCTACCTCAAATTTTTTTCATCTTCAAAGAATAGACACTATATCTAGAGCTCTTTGTAATAGTATCTTGGTTCTCCCATAGTAAGAAGACAGAAGTTGGTTCAGAATCCTGATACTGCTTTGGTTGTTTCTGGTGGGACATGACCTTGAGAAGGTCATTTTACCCATCTGAGCTGTTTCCTCATCTGTACCATGAGGGAGTATGACTTTTTACTTGATGAGGGTCTTTTGATCTTGGACATGCTAGTATGTCCTGAAGAAAGTACTCACTCCCTAACCAGACAGAATCCCTAACCTCAGCCTCCACATTGTTATCTATATTATTGGTATATGTTGTGGGGGAAGAGAGTGTGTTGGATGCCTGTTCCCACTCAGTGGCTCCTCTCAACCTTAAATCCCAGGTCAGTAGTGATCAGGAGGGAGCATGTGATGAATAAGAAATGGGAAACTTGATGACAAGCAGGTTCCCTTGCATGTCTCTTCACCTTAGGCAAAGAGGCCCGGGAACCAGAGCTCTGGGTTGTCATGGTGAGCACAGTAGTGATACCAAGGCCTACACGGGCAGGGGCAGCATCCATGTTGATCCAGAAGGAGACCCAGGACAGGATGACGATGAGTAGACTGGGGATATACATCTGAATCAGATAATATCCCATTTGCCGTTCCAGGTGAAACTTTACCTCGATGCAGGTGAACTTCCCTGCAAGGAAAGAGGTGAAGTATCAGGCCCTGGGTCCTCAGCCTTCTGCTGATCCTAAATGGCAGAACTAGGATATCCCTGTCTATGTTGAACAATTTGGGGCACCTCAGCTGGCCAATAAATGAGCCTTTGAAAATGGTCACAGTTAGTGCCTGACATCTACTAAGAAAGTTCACAGAGCAGCCATAATGGACATGCCCTCTTGCTCCTAGCACTTTGGCTTCCAGCAGGAGGTCTTTTGAGTGACAGCACAGCAAGAGGATAAAAGCAAGAAGGCTCCAGAGTCAGACTGACTGGGTTTGAATCCTGAACCTTTCACTTACTAGTTGTGTGACCCCGGGCATAACACCCAAGCTTTTTGAACTTCAGACTCTGCCTATAAAACAGAGTAGTCACAATATCAGTGCCATCACTGGGCTATTGGAAAAATTGAATAAAATGATGTATTTGAGGTGTTCAACTCATAAGTAGCTATTATTATTGCTGTATGATTATTAACAAGACAATTAGTTCAGACTCTACTCAGATATAAGCAGCCTTGCTTGCAACTGCTAGTATCCCAGAAGCTGTCTAGCAACAGAACTGGGATAAAGACTGCCTGTGTCTTAAGCAAGTGAGAAAAGCCATATAACAGACATCTATAAACAATGCCCATCAGAGACTGGCTCTGGACAGTGGGCCGTAGTTTCCCATAGAGCATTAGGCAGCAGCATTATATTCTACCAACAAAAGTTACATTAGCCCTAGGTACATGTACCAGTGCTCAGCCATCTTCACTTTACCCTGCTTCCCATGACCCTGAGGCTAAGAAAACAGTTGCTTATAGATTCTCCAGAAGAAGAAGCCTAAGACAACCCAAACAAAAACGAGAGGGTATACATAGTCATCTTTTGATTTCCATGGGGGATTTGTTCCAAGACCCCTCTGCAAAACCAAAACCTGTGGATGCTCAAGTCCCTTATATAAAATGTCACAGAATTTGTGTATAACCTGTGTACATCCCCCTATATACCTTAAATAAACTCTAGATTACTTATAATACCTAACACAGTATAAGCAATATGTAAATAGTTGTTGCACTATATTACTTAGAGAATAATGACAAAGAAAATAAGTCTAGGGCTGGGGTTGTAGCTTAGTGGTAGAGTGCTTTCCTAGCACGTGTGAGGCAATGGGTTCAATCCTCAGCACCACATAAAATAATAAATAAATAAAATAAAGGTATTATGTCCATCTACAACTAAAAAATATTAAAAGTAAATAAGTCTGTACATGTTTGGCATAAATGCAGTTTCTTCTTGAATATTTTTTATCTGCAGTTGGTTGAATCATTGGATGTAGAACCTGTGGACATGGAGGGCCAACTGTGTATTGTTATTTTATCCTGATCCAGGCTTACTCTTACCAGGCCTACCAGATTTTTCAAGCCCAGTGATTTCATCAATGACTGATGAAGGTTTTGAGAACCTGTGTAACACTATGACTACCTACTGTTCCCTGATCCTACCCTACCTCATGCCACTCTGAGCTTCTTGCCATGACATGTTTTTACTAAGTACCTATATTTTCTTTCCCTTTGTTCATTCCTTCCTTTTCCTGTAATAGCAGTTGTTTTTCATTATGAAATTGATACTTGTTTAGAAGGCGGCTGGCAGGAGAGGCAGAGCACTGGTACAGATGCCTGGGGCCAATGCACTAGAAAAAAATAAGAAGGGGAAAATAACAATATTCATAAGCTCACATTTATGAAGCCCTTATTAAGTACCCTGACATTATCTCATTTAAAACTATAGTAAATCTTTGAGGCAGGTACTATTATTATTTCCCATATTACAGATAGGGACACTGAGGCATGAAGGGATTGTTATGTTTCTCAAGGACACTCAACTAGTGAATAATATAGCCAGAATCCAAACTCAGGACTATCTGACTCCAAAGTTCTTGCTCATATCTGTTGTATCACACTACTTTACATTCAGCTCATATTTCCTTCTAGGATTTTAAATGCATGTTTTTTGTTTCGTTTATCACAATACAAATGTTCTGTGTATTCAACTTTGAATCTTACTTTTTAAAATTTGTACATTTCCATGTAAATACAAGAACCTTGCAAGCATCTTTCTTTCTTTCTTTCTTGTACTGGGGATTGAGGGATTGACCCCAGGGGTGCTTTACCCCTGAGCCACATCCCCAGCCCTTTTTGTTTATTTATTTTTTAAATTTTGAGACAGGGCCTCACTAAGTTGTGAGGCTGGCTTTGAACTTGCAGTTCTCCTACTTCAGCCTCCTGAGTCACTGTGCACCACCACACCCAGCACAAGCATCCTTTTTCATGTCTGCATACTATTGCACCAAGCAGGCACACTTAACCTTGCCCTACTGGTGGATAGTGAGAACAATTCCAAGGTTTGGGCAGTATAAACAGTGACCCAGGAGCCATCTTGGGGTCTAAAGTCAATGTGATATGTTGGAACATTTCCTTATAATACATTCCAAGGAGTGGAATTCCTGATAAACAAGTACAAAAAAATTTAACTTGTAGATTAAAAAGTTTCTCAAAGTACCATTTTTTTTCCTGGATTACCTGCATTAGAATCCTCAGGATGCTTGTTAAAATGCAAATTTCCGGACATCATTCCTGGCATGTGTAATTAGAATGCCTGAGAGGTAGAGTCCAGGAATCAACATTTTAGCAGACTCCCCAGGGAAATATATTACATACCAAAGTTTGAAAACCACTGACCTACATAAAAATTGCCAATTTTTTAGCCCCAAAATGTTATATCAATGTCTACTTCCACTGGCCTTTTCTGAATTCAATGAACTATTTCTCTACCCATTCCCCACACCCATGCATCTCACATATGTGCACACACATGTTGATAAGGAGCACCCAAAATATATCAGAACACCATAGGAGGAACCCAGGATCTCCCTCCCTTTAGTCTGCTACCTCTATCTTAGAATCTGAGCTCCTCACAAATTGTCAGGGGAAATGAGGAATCAGCAACTCTTAGGGAAGCTGCAAAGAGTAGACACTCAGGCTAGAAAAGCAGCCTCTCTCCATTTCTGGACCTATATTTCACACCTGAGAGGTATGGATGCTAAGCTGGCTGCTGATCTCAGGCCTGTTCCCTGTTCAGCACAGCCATTGACTACTTCAAAATGTGGATTTCCCAGCTTTCACACAAAGTTGGCCCCAGGAAAAGTGGAAAATTCCTGCTACTCACTGTCACAGCTCTACTTCATGTGACAGGGACGAGAATATGGGCTTTGGATTTAGATTTGGATTTGAATTCTGAATCTGCCACTTAAAAGTGTGTGACTTGGACAATTAATGTAACCTCATAGAACTTCAGTGTTCTCTTTCTGAAAAATGTGTTAATAATCATGACCACAATGAGATAAAGTTTATGAAGCACATAGCATCATTTCTCACCTAGACTGGAACTTCTGTAGAGGCTAGCTGCCTTGTCCCCTTGCTTTCCATCTGGAGGCCCTCATGTTCCTCCTAGCAAGTAAAAAGCCTGGTTCTTACCTGTGTTGTAGTGTTTGGTACAATAACCTAGATCCTTCTCATCCCGCAGGATAAACTGGGGCAAAGTCAGCCCCTCAGCCACTTGGACAGCGGGAGCATCTTCTAGCCACTCAAACACGAGGTCATTCATGGTATAGCCAACTGCAAGGGACAGAGATGGCAGAGAGCTGCAGAGTGGGTGTTGGATAGGGTTAGAGGTAGTGTTAAAACAAGCAGGCAAGAACAGATGAAAAACATGTCCTGGGGTTTAGGAACTGCAGCTCATCTTGGAAAGGGAAACTTTTCCTAAAAGGATATTTGTTCATTTGTCTCATGGGCCTGTCCTAAGTGGGTAAGTCAGGAAGATTTCAGACTCCTCTCCTACCCTCCTACCAAGTTCAAAAGCATGAGAAAGGCCCAAAGAAGAATTATTCTGGCAGACCTAGAATGAAGTCCAGGAGGGTTGGGATGGTATCAAGGGCCCCAGCTGGGAACATCCTGCTATATCTCAAGCCCAGAGGAGCAAGCATGTGTACTGACCACATGTCTTGAGCTAAGCCAGCCTCAGAGCCAGGGCTTCTGCCACTTCACCTCAGGGAAGAGAGAGCTATTTATATCTTGCCAGTCATGCATGGGACAATGTGCATACCACAGACTCCTAGCCAGAGCCTTGAATTGGGTCAAATTTAGGGTTACTATCTGAACATGCAAATCTCTCACAGAGAGCAGTTCATTAAAGTTCATGCCATTTATAGTACCAATTCTTGTATGTCAGTCAAGAAGGGAACAAAAACACTAAGGCTCACAGAATCCAGTGTAGGGCTTTGACCCAGAGTAGCTGTGTGACTTTGGGTGAGTCACTTCCCCTTCTGTTTAATGAGAACAGCAGCTGCTCTATTTTTCTGTCTGTCTGTCTTCCTTCCTTCCTTCCTTCCTTCTTCCCTCCTTCCCTTCCTTCTTTCCTTCCTCCCTCCTCCCTCCCTTCCTTTCTTCCATAATTTTTTCCTTCCTTCCATACCAGGGATTGAACACAGAGATACTTAACCACCAAACCACATCCCCAGTTCCTTTTTTATTTTTTATTGTGAGACATGCTCTCACTAAGTTACTTAGGGCCTCCCTAAATTGCTGAGGCTGGCATTGAACTCATGATCCTCCTGTCTCAGCCTCCTGAGCTGCTGGGATTGTTAATTGTGCACAATTGTGCCCAGCTCTGCTCAGTGTTCAAAGTTGTTGTGAATGGATTATGGGACCCTGGAAAGGGAAACTTTTCCTAAAAGGATATTTGTTCATTTGTCTCATGGGCCTGTCCTAAGTGGGTAAGTCAGGAAGATTCCAGACTCCTCTCCTACCCTCCTACCAAGTTCAAAAGCATGAGAAAGGCCCAAATGTGATTGTGGTTTAAAAATTCTTAAAGAGCTGACCACAGGAAACATTCTATGTGTCACTGTTATTATGTACTAGAAATAGCCTTATGGGATGACTTCTCTGAGGACCTTGTGGATGTCTTCTGATTTTGTAGTCTCAACTCACCCAGGAGATGGGGAAGGAATGGAAACAGGTGACAGACCAGCCTTGCCATCCTTTGGCTCCTCTGTACTTAGGACAGCCCTCACAGACTGGTACCTCTGCCAAAGAGGAACCCTTGGGTGACTTCTCCTTTATAGCCACTTTTCTATGTTTGAAACTATCCTCTCCTACTTCTCTATAATGATTATCTCTGTTCATGGGAATCAGAGTTCAGAGAATACCCTACCTTGCCCAACAGTGGCATTTTATAGATATCTTTAAGGTCTTAACTCAGGGAAATACTAAGGGAACATATCTTTAGGCAGAGCACACCCTTTCAAATCCCCTTCCATAGTCATTACAAGCATATTTGTGCATCAGGCTTGTGCTATCCCATGTCCTAGTCTTTGGAATATCCAGGCCAGAAAATGGAAAAATGAACTGGACTGAGTGTCAGAAAACCCTAGATTCTAGTCTTATCTGTGCCAAGAATTGTCTGTGTGTGCTTCTGTAGATCCTGCCTGACTCTGAGTAGCCCTTTTAATACCTGGGATGTCATGAGATGGGGTTTACTAGCTGCTGTTTCAGGCCTTGCTCCATGACTTTCTACAGACACTTACAGCTTTCTAGCTGCATCGTGCAGGTCTGGATGTCCATAGGGAAGTTCTTGAGGTCCATTGGGCAGGACAAAATGAGGGTCAATCTGGTGGTGACAGTAAGAAAGAAGTGACATTAGCTTACTGGGATCTAACACTGCATAGGGGACACTTCTTCCACCCTCAGCCTCCATTTGTCTTCTTCCCCTTGATGCAAATTCTCCTGGCCATTCACCAGGTGTACCTGATGCTGTAGAGCACATTTCCATTCTTGAAGATGCGCAACAACTTGTTGTCTGTGGTCACTTCGTGGAAATTGGCCCCTTTCTCATTGGCAAAGAAAAGGTCTGGCTTCCAAATAGAGTCCAGCATGGAGGGATCGAGGTCTAGAGAGTCATCAGGATATTCTCGGTAGGCCAGGCGTGGGTCATTCCACTGCTGCCGCAAGAAGACATTGACTCTGTAGTCCTGGGAGGGTGCAGATATGGGTCCATCAGAGGCAGTGCTATTTCCAGGGGCTCAGCAACCCTACGTGAGCAGGAGAGTCATGAGGAGGAAATTCTGGGGCATATTGGGGACACTAGGCATTTTCCGCTGGAGGAGCTTGTTTGGGGCTAATAAAGCAAAGATGGTAAGGAAAAAGGCATTTATTTAAGCATCTACTATGTGCCAGGCTCTCTGCTAAGTGCTTTATTTATATGTATCATCTCATCTAAATTTTACACCAATCTTTTGAGGAGAGTGCTATCATGATCTCTATTTTACAGATGAGAAACTGAGACCAAGAAAGATTTAAGTAGATATACCTTAACACCACTGTTAGTAGAGCCAGCATTTGAACCCAGGTTTGTCTAATTCCAAAGCTTGTTGTCTGCATGGAGCTACTTCACATATTTGGCCATCTGTTTGTTGCTTAGCTAGTTCATCTTTAACTATAGAAATCTAAGGCTAGGGAAAAATATTCTCCCAGTGGCCAAATTCAGACCCCTATGGCTTTAGCCATGACAATGAAACAGGAAGTGGACAACAGAGGTATGAAATGTGTGTGGCCTGGTTGGCTTCTCCATTCACATTGGGGTGGAAATGGGGAACAGGAAGACTCCTTACCATGGTGGTCTCGGTGACGGAGCCAAAACTGTTGATGAAGATGTTGCAGGTCACATTCACAGGTGGGCCTAAGGGTAGCAAAGCACAGCCCATTGTCAGGGCATTCCAGAAGGCAGGGAGCAGGTTTGAGGACACTCTCCCTGAGCTTCAGGCTGGGAGAAGATAGTGCCAGCTACACAAGCCTTTGGACTACAAGGAGGGGAGGCTGTTTCTGAGCTATAAGAACTAGCCCTGGAATACCAGTCTCCTTCCTTAAGGCAATTCACAGGGGCTGACTGGGTAGTGTGTCACAAAAAGTGGTAAGGAGGGAATGGTTTTATAGAATGACTTTTCTTACCTTTAAAATTGGGCCGAATTCTGGCATCGTATCCAGATGTTCGCCCCATAAGCTTGTCCAGGAAATCAGAGGGGGACATAGGCTGAGACCCCTTGTTTCCAGATTTGACATCCTCCTTTGCCAAAGCCACCCTGGACATGAGAGGTAAAGAAGTCTGAGGCCAGTTGCATTTGTCAGAGACTCTCCATTCTCATCCTCATCCACCTCTGACTGGCCTCCTCATCAAGCAGGAGGATAAGAGAGAATGGGTCTCTGAGTAACAATGTACAAAATGAGGAGAACAATAATAGCCATAAGCCAACATGGCAGCTCAGCCACTAGTCCTAGGAAATGGCTTTCACATAGATTAGATTTTTTTTTTTTTGAGAGAGAGAGAGAGAATGTTTTAATATTTATTTTTTAGTTTTCAGTGGACACATCTTTTATTTTTATGTGGTGCTGAGGATCGAACCCAAGTAGTGTATGCCAGGCGAACGCACTACTACTTGAGCCACATCCCCAGCCCCAAGATTAGATTTTTTTAACCCTACAATTTTCATTGAGTTGGGGGGGTGAGGATTGTTATTTCCATTTTACAGATGAGAAAATGGAGGTTTGAAAAGGAGTGACTTGTTCAAAGTCTCAGGGCTGGTCAGATATAGGGTTAGAATTTGAACATCATACTGTGGTCTTGTACAGAGTTCTTTTTGTGAAGGTGCTTTGAAAGTACTCAAAGAAGAGTGATATCTCACTGCAGTGTTTTGATTATGATAGAGCCATTGGGATGTTTAGCTAATCTGGTCTGGCCAAAGATGGGAGGGGTTTAGGGACAAATTACATCCCTGAGAATTGGTGTCAGTTGCTTGGGCTTCACGTGAGAATGAACAGAATGTAAGGCCCTGCTTCTGAAGAGGGAGGTGTGGCTTTTGGCATTTGTTGTAGCAAGAAGCTAGGTTTTGAGTTCTTTTGGTTCAGGGCCATGGCCACTGCTAGCAAGTGTACTCAACTATTGAGAGGAAGCAGGTCCCTGTTCATGGGAAAACCCCCCAGTAGGGCGATCATGCAAAGAAGCTTAACTCCCATCTTTCCCCCTGAACAGCCTGATTTTGAGGAAGGGGCCAGTATTGTTTGGCCTGGCCTAGAAGCCAGCTTCCTTTTCCCTTGAGAAGTTTCCTTTCAAGTGCAGCAAAGTCTCTTTGGCATGCCTGCTTGCCAGCTTACCAGCCAATATATAGACTAGGGACCAGAAACTCAGCAAAACCTTGGGGGCAGGGGCAGAGTTCAGGCTGGACTACTAGCTAGGCCAGGTGTCTCCTTCTTCATCTTGGTATCATCATTGTGCCAGGTATGACAACCAGCTCCACTGCTGACATGGCTGCTCCTACTGTGGAACTGGGCAGCAGGGTGGCTGCTGTCCTTCTGAGTCTCAGTCTTCTTTGAGCTAGTGGGCCTCTCTTTCCCATGCACCAGCCAGTGACCAATAGAATAACAAAAATAGCTAAAACGCCATACTAAACTCTTCACATACAATATCTCATTTAGTTCTCATATCAGTCCTTTCTGATCATCCCTATTATACTCATGCTTTGTTATCCATGGGGGATTGATTCTAGGACCCCCTTTCAGATACCAAAATCCATAGAAGCTCAAATCCCTTATATAAAATGATGTAATATTTGCATATAACCCATGCACATTCTCATGTGTGCTTTAAATCATCTTTGGATTACTTATAAGACCCAAAACGTTGTAACTGTTAAGCAAATACTTGTTATACTAGTACATTTAGGCAATAATGGTAGAAAAAAGTCTGTACATGTTCAGTACAGGTGCTATTATTTCAATATATTTTTGACCTATGGTTGCTTGAATCCATGCATATGGAACCTATGAATATGAAGGGCCAACTATATATACATGTGGAGGCTGAGAACTCATGAGGTGAAGTGATATCCTCAAAATCATCTAGCTAACAAATAATAAAGCCAAGATTTGAACCCAGAGCTATTGACTTCAGACCAAATCTACCACAGTACTATGAGGCAAGTGTGGCAGGGTGAGCTGCCAAGGGACCAGAGTTGGGGAAGTTCAGTGGCAGCTCTTCCATGACCTCCTAGAGTCTTATCTCCTTGAATTCCCCCAAGCAGGGGAAAGCCCTTACCCTGGAGACAGAGGCTCCCCTGGCCCTCAGCAGGAACAGCCACAGCAGGTGGCCTAAGCAGGCTGTGGAAATCCGAGGAGGCTGGTGGTGGTGCTGGAGCAAGTAGAAGTCTGCAACTTCACCACAGGATGTCCATGCTAGCCAGGTGCTGCTGCTGCTGCTGCTGGCCACCTGCCACCTGCTTTCTGGGAGGCCACATGGCCCTGCACAATGGAACAACCAGACCCTCTACAGTCCTCATCCCCACTCTCAGGTCGCTTCTCCCACTAGTATCAGCCCTAGGAACCCTGCACATACTGTGGGATAAGCTGTCTTCAGCCCCAATTCCTCTTTTGGCCCCCACTTCTGGGGCTACTTTGTCTGAGGACCTGAGAGGACAGTGACTGTGTATAGCCACTCCTTCCTCCCTTTCATTCCTGCAAAAGTCCCAAACACCTACAGGACCTAGGAGGTTCCAGAACTGACAGGCTTTCTCATACAAGGCCCTGGGGTGGGGTAAGAGGAGAACTCTGAATCAGTTACTGAATACCAGAACAACATCGGTTGGTCATTCCCCGTCTTTAGGCCTCAGTTTCCATATTGTTCATATGGGCATATCAAATTGCCCATCTTGCTCTAATTGCCTTCAGTCTCCAAACCCAAGTAGAAAAGCTGCCATTGGAGCTTGGGTCGTTGAGGCAGCCTCTCTTCCAAGAGGGCCAGCAAGTCGCAGCTTCATGCCCTCCTTTTTTTCTATATCCTCCTGTCAACTCCAGGTGAACTGCCATTCCACTCTGAGCTACTTTTTAGTCTAAAGTTTATTGTTGTGCTCTGCATCCTTGTTTGCCTGCCAGCCAATGTATCTGCAAGCAGTAGGATAGGAGACTCCTCAGAAACAAGCAGCTCTGGGGTGTTCCTTGGATTAAGAGGGGGAGGAGGATACTGCAGTGACACTTGCTCCTTCTGCTTTGGGGTACACTGCTCTTGGGATGCACTTCAGTCCAAGCCATAACTATCTTTCCTGCTCAGCTCATCCTGTCAACCTAGACTGGCTCCTGACCTAACAAGAAAGGGGCAGTTGGTTGGGAGACATTTACAAGGAGCCCAAGCATGCCTTGCATGCAAGCCCAGGAAATGATTGCTACTTGGTACCCCTCAAGGGACAGTGAGCAGCCATATATGCACAGTCAGGGTGATAGGGTGATTGCAGAAGGCCAAAGTTTGGGCAGCCCATGTGGTCTTAGGGCAAACCTGTGTTACTTGAAGACTCTTGTGCAGGCAACTGCCAGATATTGCTGTTGTATTTATGGAACTGAGCAGGATGTGGCCCAGCTGATAGGGAGACAGGATTAGGTGGCAAGTTAGATGGCCTCCATTTGGGGGCTCAGCTACCTAGCCCCTACCCCAGGCCCAGGAAACTTGCCCATGCAGAAGACTTCCTACCAGCTTTGACATCTCTAATGGAAAGCTCCTGGGTCCTGTTTGGGGGAGCGTGTGCCCTCCCCTGGAACCCTCCAGACTGTGGGCTTTTTGTAAACTTAGAGGAAACTGTGCCCGCTGCCCAGGTTGCCCCCAACCTCCTGCCAGTGTTTGCATGCACCTTCTTCTCACCCCACTCAGCTCACCTGAGGAGGACCTGCCCTGGCAGAGTCCACAGAAGAGGGAAGGAGAGGGTTGCAGGAACAAGAGTTGTCATTCCGTGGGGACCTTGGAGCCCTTCCTCAGCCTGGCTGCCAAGGTGAGGGGAATATCCCTGTGGGAACGCTGAAAGTATAGAACCTTCCTCCAACTTGGGCTGCTCCAGGAGTTGTGCTCTCTTTCCTCTTCTGCCTCTTCTCTGCCCTGTCTTTATCAGTCAGGGGCCAGAACTATTCCCCTGGAAATGATCCTGACACAGATAACCCTACCGGCTGCTTGGGCTCGCCTTGGGCTGCGGAGGGCCTCAGCCTGCCAGCCAGGGAGCCAAAAAAGATTCTCTTTGGGCAGCAATCACCCTCTAAGCCCTGGAGAGTCTTGGAGGGGAGGGAGGAGGGAGACCGGTAGAAAGATGTTTCCCTCCCTCCCACCTCCCCCTAGATGCACCCTCTGAAAGCAGCAATTTAAAGGCACAGTCACCAGCAGCTGGAGTGGGGTTCAGAGTGTGTCTCTGTGCTGGGGAGGAGCTTGGGCTGCCGCTACTGCTTGAGAAGAGCCAGAGGTGTTCTGTCCAGCCTCCAACTCTCTAGCTGGAGGAGGGCACATAAGTGGCCCTGCTGCCCTCAACTCAACCACTTTCCTTTTAGCCTGGAGCTAAACTGGGGCTCAGCAGTAAAGTTCCAATGATTGTAAAAAAGACCTCAGAAGGGTTAGGCAACAGCCATTGGGTATCCTCAAGGTAATAGCTTTAGGTCAGAAAGGAGGGAAGGATGAGGCTAAAGGTCAGGGGCAATGTTTTTTTTTTCACCCTCTGGATGGAGGCACAGTGAATGGATGATAGAGGAACTTCAGAGCCCTTCTATGTAGTCTGCCTGCCTGAGAGTCTGCCTGCCTGCCTGCCTGCCTGCCTGCCTGCCCAATCCCCCTTTATCCTTATAGATTTGTGTTCTTTTCCCTGCCTTCCTCCATTAGGCCATCATTGGAGGCTTGGGGTCCTCTATG